CCATAAGCCCTGCATCGGTTTCCAGTTCCTGATTCCGGTCGAAGGCTCGGCCTCTTTTCAGTCGTTAACCTCGTTCTCTCCTCCGTTACGACTTCCAGTTGCTAAAGCACTCTCCCTGCTCCGCAGTTACCTCAACTCGCCTCCGACCAGGCCGATCCCGACTTTAGCAGTTGCCTTTTCCTGGCAGTTTGGTTGTGCTCAGAGCACTGGAGGAGGCTGGTTTCCCCTCCCCATCTTCTGTCTGGATTGGCCACTCTCATTTTTAATATATGCACGATGGTTCGTTGTTCGGCGTTACACCTTGTGTGTGCGCACCTACACATTCCTCTCAGCCAACAACTGATCTTTTGCACTGATAACGAGTTGTTATCAGTGTCGGGCGGATCGGTTGTAAGCTGTCGCTACCAGCACAGCACTGTATGCCAGTTTAATGACCGTTTTTGCTCTCTTTGCTCGTTATTCGAACGATTCGTTCCTTCTCCTCCGCTCGGACCATTTCGAGATGAAGCGTTTGCTGTTCCATGTACGGGGACAGCAGGGTTTTTCGAGGCACTGCTGGAATTGCTCAACCGCAGCAAACGGCCGGGAGCATTCCGTGTTTGTTTGCTATACAGGTTGAGGGAGTATTTGGCGTAGTTACAAAACTGCCCAATTTAGCTGCTTAGCTGATGTATCTTGATTACTTCCCTCGATCGGTATTCTCGATCACGGTATAGCTGGGTCCTTTATATGCGGATTTGCAAGGGCTGAGTCAGCGTTTCTTCCCCAGACCGTAAACTTTCCGCATTTCCATTTTTTCTCTCGTTGATTTGTTGCTACAGTAAGCAGACTTGTTGCTAAGGAGGTCAATGCTCTCGCGAATTATATATCTTTTGTCTGCATACAACTAAAAATGCTAATTTCATTTTGATTAGACCTCTCTGTCAACATTTCTGACGACCAGTTACAAAACTGCCCAATTTAGCTGCTTAGCTGATGACCATAGTGACTTGGGATTTGAGACTCTTCATCGGTCGTCACGTTCTTACTGATATGCAGGAATTCTGTTGATCAACTCTGCGCTACTTCTTCCTTCATTCGAGAACATCTTATGTACGCCACACTTGACTCTTCGTGCTCCTAACGTTATGCTAATTCTCAAAAGTGTCATTCATCATTCACTTAGAAAGGGAAATATGTCCACGTACGCTGAGCGAATTTCATGTATTTGAAATTTCAGCGCAAAAGGGGGATTGGTGAAAGGAGCTTGGAAAATGCAATTTTTGAATGCTCTTTTACTTAGTTTTTGCTAATGTACTGATTTTTTTTTTTTTGTTTCCGAATTTTTTCTTTGAACAGCGTCTTCTTGAGTACTGATAAATACGGATTCGGATGCATGAAGTGCATGAAATCGTCTGCCGCTGGTGTAGTGGCCGCGCTTTTTAATAATTATTCGAAGGTTTAGGTCATTATTATGGAACACCGAAGCCAGTGGAAGATGATCAAATGGTGAGCGATCCGAAAGGGCCATTACCTCCAAATTGGGAGATTGCATATACCGAACAAGGAGAGAAATATTTTGTCGAGTAAGTTGGCGGTTTTTGGCTCTCTTCAGTGGCCGATATAAAACGCATATGTCCTTCAAACTGGTCCGCTTCCTTCTCCACGAGGGTGAAATGTGAAAAATTTCTAATTTCCCAGCTTATAATTAGGCACAAAATGCTATTGCTGGTGGAGTATCTTTGGTACCTTTTCCAGTCCAGATTTCTGAGGCTTATTGATAACGCACACTCATATTCCAGTAAATTGAAAATGCGGCAGTGTTAGGAGCAAAGGCCAGCTGCTGCTTCTGAACCAGTGCTGAAATTAATGCCTGTATGTTTGGGAAGAGCTAAAAGAAGCAGCCAAGGTAGAATAGCTTTTTCCAAACTACACAGATTTGCAGATCACTTTTTGGACATTTTGCTGCTCCATGCTCGCGGGTGAGGCATGAGTATTGTTTGGCATATAAACGCAAAACAAAAATCATACCAAATTTTTTCGACGTAAATTTCCAAATTACTGTTTTCTGTACGTTCTTGCAACCAGGGTTTGTCTAGCTAGAAGGTTTTGTTTTCCAAACTTTTACGGGGACCAAACAAACCGGGAAATACTTGAACTACTTTTCGGAGGTTTTTGGATAAATTATGTATTCTCAAACGAAACTGGTGAAAACCGGCTGTGACGAAAAGTGTGCTGAAACGAAGGACTTTTCAGCACACTTTGGTCTCAGTTTCACAGTGATCGTGTGAAAAATGAAACTTTCATTTGAATGAATGAAGAGAAATGTTTGTTTTTATGGGAGTGATGAAAACCGACTAGATTAGACATTCATTCACTTTTCTGGCAGGCAGTGAACTCACGTATCAGGGAGTGATGTCTGCGAAGAGAAAGCAGTCACTCAGGCGATCTCCGAAGAAGTAGCGTCCGCTGTCGGCAAGCAAGGCAGCTACGTATAAGAGAAAGTGCCATGGCTACGTTCGATTCTAATTACACCTTAACAACGCCAGGGGCTGGTAGTTTTGTAGGAAAGATCTTTTTTTCAGGCTGAAATATATTTGCGTCGGAATTGTAACTCTATCTCCTTGTGGTGGGGCAGGAACATCTGTAAATTTACGGTAGAAGGCTGTCGAGTGATTTGCAAAATTTTTTTGGGGGAGGGGGAAAAGATTTCACTTAAAAGCTGTTACAGTTGATTTACTGACTGGCGTATTATGGGAGCGAGGCTAGAGTTTCAGAGCAAACTATGTTGTCTTTAGCCATGTCATTAGCCTTCATGCAACATTTTTTTCATTAAAGTCCGCAAGAAAAAAAAAAACTTGCAAATTGAAAATGTTCCGTGCCTTTATGCAAAAGTTTAAATTGTTTAGTCATAACACGGGTTCGACACACTGGGAAGACCCGAGGGAT